GTTTGGGTGATTTTGCTGGCCTGCTTTACTACACTTTTGAGTTTTGTCCTGTGTTTGAGAGTGAGAAAATTGAACCAGGTGGAGATATTGTATGTGAGAATGGATTCAATGAGTGAGGTATACACAGTTGATAAAATGCCTTTGCTAACATTAAAAGATCTCAGTTTCCTAATGAAATAAATGAAGTAAATTCCTTTACTAAGATACTTTATCGATCTCACGCTGGAGAAATGCGCACGTCACATTTGGCATAGATCATAGAATCACTCAAGATGTGCAAACAGACAGGAAGTGTGCAAACATTGTTAAAAGGTTAAAATATAAGTCTTCTTCTGTGCAAGAAATATTATGTACAATGAAATTAAAAGAAAATTAGAGCCGAACATTATCTGCCAGTGCGTGAAACATAAGTCGGTGTGAAATGTTGTAATTGAATGGCTGCTTTTGTGTCAGAGGGTACAACTCCGGGGTTTTGATTCCAGTCCCACATCTGGAATACAGTTTGTTACAGTGAGAGGCCCCAATGTGCATCGCCTGCAGTGCCAACAGCCCTAATGAAAAAAATACATTTGCATCTGTTCCTCTTATTTACTTCAAGTATTCTTAAACATCTGTGTACTTTAAAGCAAGCCACAGTTTTCCTTTGTCTCTCTGTTAATGCCACCAATAAAAAATAGCAACAGAAGCAGTCAGGAAGTGGCGTAATCCGATTACAAAGTGCATTAAAACTGGCAGTCCACTCTAAAAACGTTTTTATTTGGCCCTAAAACTGACGTAATGCAAAAGTGCTGTTTTCAAGCTTAATCGCAACAGACACTTGTAGTCGGAATGTTACAATCTCGGGTGTTGTAAAAGTTTCATATATTTCTGCTTCTGAATTTTAGATTATTTAGTCTTGTTGCGTAATCCTTGCTGTTTTGGAATAAGAAAAGTTTATTAACATTTTTATGGGTCATCTTGCCACCCTTTCGACCACAGGCTCCTATGTGTTTGTTATTATTGCATTTCCTGTGTTTTTACTGGTTTGATCTGATCTGGCAGTTGTGATTTAGCGCTATACAAAAATAAATGTAATTGAATTTTAATACCGGGGTACGTAACTGTTTTGTTTTAGGAATAATAATGTCGTTTTTCCCAAGAGAAAGAGTGTCGTCAAAGTAAAACGTCGTCATCAAATCAAACTGTATCTGTCTGTATCTTAATATTACATGTTATCTTGTACATATACTTGTGAGAAAAATCCCTGTGAGTCACTATTTGACACTTTAGGCTGGGAGCTGATTGGCTGAGTGAGGGTGGTCCTCTTTTTCTTTCACTTTTCTGTTTGAAAAAGCTTATCTAAACATGTGGCAGAGGCCAAAGATACAAGCACATGTGGAAACTAGTGATAGAACCCAACTGTTGTAGAGCCAGGATCGGTTACATGGATTTTATTACATCATTTATGACAAGTTACGTACCCAAGCTTTAAAAAGTCACAACTGTTTATTGACAAAAGCCCTTCTCTGCGGCGTGGCTCGTTCCTGCGCATTGATTAGATGACGCAGCCAATCCCATGTTGTAAACTTTCCATTCTAGTCACTCTTTTTTTTTAGCGAAAGACCTTTTGGTTTCCCTTTTTTTATTATTATTAAAATGGTACAAATCTTTCAGTATACAATAAAACTTAAATAGACAATAGTGTACCATAGAAGGATAACATAATGACTTTTGGGTGATTTGAGAGATGAGTTTATTGCTTATATACTGTAGATTAATTTCATTTTGGATTTGTGTATATGGAATTTGCCCCGAACGATTAATAAATTAACTAATCTATCTAGTCTGGATGGTCCACCTCCGCTGCTCTGACCTAAAGTGCTCTTGCATTTTAAATACTACTACTATTTTTTTTGCTATTTTTATTTTTTTTATTAGTTTGTATGGATGCATGTGTTTCTTCTGCTACTGGACACTTGAATTTATCCTACGGTGGATCATTAAAGTATCTATCTATATAGTTGTATTTAGAGTTACATATGTCAAAGAAACCGCCTTTTGGTATCTCGCTTTGGTTCCCACTGATCAATGGGAGACTGTGTGGGTGGGGTCTCTCTCTCTCTCTATCTAAAGAGGCCCCTTTTTTTTTTTTTTTTTTTAGCTGTGAGTGTCATTCCCCAGAAGAGAAAGCAAAGTGAATGACTTGTGGCAGAGCAAGTGGGGGGCAGGACGACGCTCTTGTCGGGTGAAATGAGGAGAAAAATTCAGCCGTGTTTTTTTTTCTCTTCCCTTTGTGGCTCTGGGGGTCAGTCTCAGGGGGGATGCAGGAGACACATAGGTTTTGGTCCGACAGCTGTAGTGCCTGAAGCGTTTTCGGGTCCCAGAGCAACTGTTAAAAGATCTTTGCCGCTGTTTTACATTGACTTTAGTTTGTCCAAGAGCTGGTAGAGCGTACAGTCATGGTTAATACTCCTCACCCAAATGTTGTAGCAGACACACGTGCAGACGGACGGTGATTTATGAGGAGCGTTTTTTTTAGCTATGGCTCCCAGCTGTATTCTAATGATCAAAGGTTATGGACCCATATAAATACAATAGGCACTTGTGTGTGTGTTTGTGATACGGTCTGGTCATGTGTTCATCTTGTGTCAAGTCGGTAAGCACAGAATTGAGTGAAAGATTTTGGACTGGGAAAGTATTAGGGGAAGAATTGAAAGAGAAAGTTTTATTTATTTTTTGTAAGAATTTTTTCTTGCTAATACAGGAGGGTCTAAGGACAGTGGTGATGATCCAGGACAGTCGACATTCAACCACATTTATAAACATTTATAGACATTGATCATCTGTCCCTTATGGACCAATGGCTCTACATTTTTTTTTAATCATTGCATTTCTTGTGTCTCTGTGTTTGCGAAATTCAACGGTTGTGTAAAGTCCTCCGAGATAACTACTGTTGTGATATAAGACCTATACAAGAATGAAGTGAATTGAAAGTTATGGTTGGCTTAGCCTAATTTTCTCAGTATTGTGGCAGTCACAATCAAATATAGTTTGCCTTTTACCCAGGTTTTAGATTGCCAAAACTAAAAGTGACATAGGCCTTGCTTAAAGCCTGACCCAGTTACCACCCCGCTCCAAATGCAACTGTGTATTCCCGACCATTGGAAATTCTTGGTGAACGCCTTCTCTTCAGCCCACCATCTGTCTGGGAATTGATTTACTAAAACTCCGCCTTCCCAGATAAGAATGACTTGTGCTCCATTCTACACTCCGGAGTAATATTCCTAAATGGGGAAACCTCTCTTGTAATCATACTTAAACAAACAGTGAATGTTGGTCAGCACTTTGATTAACACGATAACATTATAGTCGGGTTTTCTAATCTTCGATAAGCACAATTAAACATGGTGCATGGAAGACACACAATTTCATAATCAGAATTATTTTTATTGCTGTTGTAGGTAAAAGGAAGTCACAAACTTGGAATTTCCTTTGGTAAATGGTACAGGCAGGTATTAGAAAAGTAAGAAAATACACACAGAGGTAACCATATTAAAAGATTTTTTTTTTTTATATAAATACACAAAATAGACATAGAAGTATGATATTATAAGGTGGAAGAGGTATTATACTGCATATGAACTGTGCAGACTGTATTTCTAAAGAATTTAAAACAACCTCTTGGTAAAATATTGTGGTTTTCTTTTGATTTGATTTGATTCTAATACTTTATTTTGAGCCATACACAATTTTTACATTTTGCGCCTTACTGAAACCACTGCACCAACTTACATGGGCAACAAGAGAATGAAAAACAAAACGGCACATAACATAAAGGTACAGGGAGGATCTGAACAACTCATATTTGTATTATTATTAAAAAATAAAAAAAGAGTTTGGCTCAAAAAGGAGTAGGAAGAAGAAAACTTATGTGCTCCCACCCCCTGTTCCTACATTTCTTTATTTAGCTTAGCTCCTGGTGTCTTTCTTACATACATACATATACACATACATACATACATACATGCATACATACATACATACATACATACATACATACATACATACACACATTTAAAAAGAACAACATCTTGTAGTGACCCCCAAAACATTTGAGTGACAGCACACACATCCTTATTTAGAATGAATGAATTTCCCTTTAATTTCTCTTGGGCATTTGATCTTTTGTTGTTTCCATGCGGCCCACTCTCCAAATAGCAGGCTCTCCAGGCTCAGGTCAGTCTTTTGAGAAGGAAGAATGCAGAAAATTAGGTATTTCTTTGTTTGCTGTTGTCATTCGAGGCGGTCCGTGGCAGCTAAGTGGTATTTGCCATGTGAAGACAGCAGGGATTACCCCCGTCTCTCCGTGGATAGCTCGGGACAAGCGGGTAAACATAGGGTCCAAAGAAGTCAAAGCGAGCGTAATGGTAGTGATGAGATGAGAGTGCATGATGCATGAAGAAATGACAGCTTTAAACAAGTAAGGTTTGAAAGGCCAGAGAGTACAGAGGCAGACGTAATGTTTGGCAGTTAACCGGGACAGGCCTGGGTCAGACATCTGTGATCCATTTCCCAGGATTGGCCCCTTTCTCTTTGTCTCGGCTCAAAACTAACTCGGCCTCATACTTTTTCAAATGAATGAGAAGTACAGCGTTTTTTGGCAATTATTCTTCCGGCGATTTTAATTAATTGGGTTAATAGAACGTGCCGAGATGACTTCATGGCGTGTTGAGCAAGATAGATGACACATGGGATGGAGTCGGTTTGGATTCTCTTCTTGGCTCTAATTAATGTATGTCTCACGATAGAACGGCCACCTGTTTTACCTAAAGACTCGGTGATGTCATAGTGTCTGTGTCGCGGGCAGCGGAGCACGAGAGGGAAATCAGAGCGACTGCGGGATTAGGATCGTCTCGGTGTAATCAGCGTCTTCCACAGGATCAAACGCACCTAATTTTACTGATGGAGCGTCTTGGTAATGTTGGACACAAGTGTGAAAAGACTGTGTCAGAGGGGGCTTGCTAAAGCTGCAATAGTGTGAGGACGTACACAGATGTGAGGACGTACACAGGTGTGAGGACGTACACAGATGTGAGGACGTACACAGATGTGAGGACGTATACAGGTGCCAGGACGTATACCGGTACCAGGACGTATACAGATGTGAGGACGTACACGGGTGTGAGGACGTACACAGATGTGAGGATGTACACAGGTGTGGGGACGTACACAGATGTGAGGACGTATACAGATGTGAGGACGTATACAGATGTGAGGACGTATACAGGTGTGAGGACGTACACAGATGTGAGGACGTACACAGATGTGAGGACGTATACAGGTGCCGGGACGTATACCGGTACCAGGACGTATACAGATGTGAGGACGTACACAGATGTGAGGACGTATACAGGTGTGAGGACGTACACAGGTGTGAGGACGTACACAGATGTGAGGACGTATACCGGTACCAGGACGTATACAGATGTGAGATGTGATAAATACAGTAGGTAAAGTAATATCCAGAGGACATCCTGAAATTGCTATAAAATAAACTATATTATCATTATATGTTACATCATTGTTTGTAGAATGGACAGAAATGTACTCGGACCGTAGTTCACTGGACTCACATTTTAGTCTTTTGTTTTGGAGCTTCACAGGAACGTTTTGAAAGACACTTTAGTTTATTTGGTGCTATTGTGTCAAACACAGTCCCAACTTTCAATATCGTGTGCCGTGTGTTTACCAACATGAGTCTGATGTTTGCGGCTGAAGGAGAGAGAGGGAGAGTGTGGTGGTCTTTTGTGTGAATGACAGAAACGCTGCAGCTGTGACGGAGATGAGGTCATTGTTTGTGAGTGTTTGGAGGCGGAAACTACAGCTGTGAGACACATTCACAAAATCAGTGATAATAATAATGAAGGTCGGCAGATGTGAGGACGTATACAGGTGTGTGGACGTACACAGATGTGAGGACTATACAGATGTGAGGACGTATACAGATGCGAGGACGTATACAGTTGTGAGGACGTATACAGATGCAAGGACATATACAGGTGTGGGGACGTATACAGATGTGAGGACGTATACAGATGTGAGGACGTATACAGATCTGAGGACGTATACAGATGTGAGGACGTACACAGATGTGAGGACGTATACAGGTGCCAGGACGTATACCGGTACCAGGACGTATACAGATGTGAGGACGTACACAGATGTGAGGACGTACACAGGTGTGAGGACGTACACAGATGTGAGGACGTATACAGGTGCCAGGACGTATACCGGTACCAGGACGTATACAGATGTGAGGACGTACACGGGTGTGAGGACGTACACAGATGTGAGGATGTACACAGGTGTGGGGACGTACACAGATGTGAGGACGTATACAGATGTGAGGACGTATACAGATGTGAGGACGTTTACAGATGTGAGGACGTATACAGGTGTGAGGACGTATACAGGTGTGAGGACGTACACAGATGTGAGGACGTACACAGATGTGAGGACGTACACAGATGTGAGGACGTATACAGGTGCCAGGACGTATACCGGTACCAGGACGTATACAGATGTGAGGACGTACACAGGTGTGAGGACGTACACAGATGTGAGGACGTATACAGGTGTGAGGACGTACACAGGTGTGAGGACGTACACAGATGTGAGGACGTATACCGGTACCAGGACGTATACAGATGTGAGGACGTACACAGGTGTGAGGACGTATACAGATGTGAGGACGTATACAGGTGTGAGGACGTACACAGGTGTGAGGACGTACACAGATGTGAGGACGTACACAGGTGTGGGGACGTATACAGATCTGAGGACGTACACAGATGTGAGGACGTACACAGGTGTGGGGACGTATACAGGTGTGAGGATGTATACAGGTGTGAGGATGTATACAGGTGTGAGGACGTATACAGGTGTGGGGACGTACAGATGTGAGGACGTACACAGGTGTGAGGACGTACACAGGTGTGAGGATGTATACAGGTGTGAGGACGTACACAGGTGTGAGGACGTACACAGATGCAAGGACATATACAGGTGTGGGGACGTATACAGGTGCGGGGACGTATACAGATGTGAGGACGTATACAGATGTGAGGACGTACACAGATGTGAGGACGTACACAGATGTGAGGACGTATACAGGTGCCAGGACGTATACCGGTACCAGGACGTATACAGGTGTGAGGACGTACACAGGTGTGAGGACGTACACAGGTGTGAGGACGTACACAGGTGTGAGGACGTACACAGGTGTGAGGACGTACACAGGTGTGAGGACGTACACAGATGTGAGGACGTACACAGATGTGAGGACGTATACAGGTGCCAGGACGTATACCGGTACCAGGACGTATACAGATGTGAGGACGTATACAGATGTGAGGACTTACACAGATGTGAGGACGTATACAGGTGCCAGGACGTATACCGGTACCAGGACGTATACAGATGTGAGGACGTATACAGGTGTGAGGACGTACACGGGTGTGAGGACGTACACAGATGTGAGGATGTACACAGGTGTGGGGACGTACACAGATGTGAGGACGTATACAGATGTGAGGACGTATACAGATGTGAGGACGTATACAGATGTGAGGACGTATACAGATGTGAGGACGTTTACAGATGTGAGGACGTTTACAGGTGTGAGGACGTACACAGATGTGAGGACGTACACAGATGTGAGGACGTATACCGGTACCAGGACGTATACAGATGTGAGGACGTACACAGGTGTGAGGACGTATACAGGTGTGAGGACGTACACAGGTGTGAGGACGTACACAGATGTGAGGACGTACACAGGTGTGGGGACGTATACAGGTGTGAGGATGTATACAGGTGTGAGGATGTATACAGGTGTGAGGACGTATACAGGTGTGGGGACGTACACAGGTGTGAGGACGTACACAGGTGTGAGGATGTATACAGGTGTGAGGACGTACACAGGTGTGAGGACGTACACAGATGCAAGGACATATACAGGTGTGGGGACGTATACAGGTGTGGGGACGTATACAGATGTGAGGACGTATACAGATGTGAGGACGTATACAGATGTGAGGACGTACACAGATGTGAGGACGTACACAGATGCAAGGACATACACAGGTGCGAGAGCATATGAACCAACAACGTTACAGTCTAATTTTGATTAATCTTTTTCTCTTCTAGCATAAGATTGTTTTACTGTTTTTAATTTTCGTTTTTGCTTTGTGTTTATTTTTTATTCTTACATTTCTTATTATCATCTTTAAATTAAAAATTAAAAAGGATAGTTTTACTTACATTACTTACATTTGATATTACGGCATATTCATACAGTATCTGGAGATTGGGTTTTCTTTGTCATTGTTTGTTTTCATGATTTTTTTACCTAAACAAGGTTAAATTTGAAATGTATGTCAGAACATTTGAGTTTTGCATAAGTAGGTCACTGGAGCGGGGTCTGCCTTCTGACGCCTGCTCTGCTTTATAGCCATGGGTTATTGGGACACGGGTTATTATAATTGAAATATTTGTTTTCTTTACCTCACTGTATCTCCGAACGACTGAACAGGCTTCTACTGTAGCTTTGGTGATTATTGCACAAAGACAGTTTGCTTTTCCCAAGATCAACAGAAGGTCACTTGCGTCACTCTTTCAGCTGGATAGTTATTGCATTTCATACTTTCAATTTCTTTTTGGGACTTACTTGATTTACTTGATATGATTTTTTCTATTGACATCAGTCGTGTGCAGCCTGTGGTCAGGTTAGCCAGTTTCTCCAGCACTCATTTGGTAATCGCCACCACTTCTTGTATTGATCTTTGGTTTCAATTTGTGTTAATGATTTATTGATTTTCGCATTTGTCACAGAGTTCTTTGCTTTTGTCTCTATGGAATAATCCATTAAAGGGAAGAAAACTAAAGTGTGTTTGTTTTGAGATTCATTTCAGTATTACTTATACCAAAAACAAACTAATGTCTGACTCTAACTTTTTGCAGGTCATTTCCCGGAGCAGAGGGGTGAGATTGCTGAGGACTCACAAGAATCCTTTAACCACTGGACAAACACTACAAAGAGGTCAGTGGCATCATGTGCATGGATCTCTTTAAAAGACTGAGTCCTGTGTGTGTTCGGGGCTGGGGGTCTGGGCACTGTCTAGTTTTGTATGACAGTAGCTGAAGATTTAAATTGACACCTCCAAATTTGTGGCTATGGTTCTTGACTGGAGGAAAGTGCTTTACCCTTTAGGAGTATGTGGAGAGGTCCTTCTTCAAGTGGAGAAGATAAATTATCTTGGGTTTCATGAGTGAGGGAAGAACTGATCGATGCGGCTGGTGCAGTGACGTTGTTGGACTGTTGTGGTGAAGAAGGAGCCAAAAGGCAAAACTATAGCTGAATCAATTTATATTCCAACCCTCATGAATGTTGGAGTAATGGCTGAAGCTTGTCATTTCGTTCAGATGGGGCGAGGCGCTCAGAGTAAAGCCTTAGCGTGGCTCGAACATTCAGCTTCAGCTGTTGGGTCGACAACTGTAACCTCTCGGCTGAACTGGAGCGCAGACTTTTAGGAGTTCCTCGAAGTGCTGCCCTGGTTCAAGCAGACGGAAATGGATGGATCAACTATTATTAAAACACCCTCACTGTCATGGTGTGGATTTTGTGTTATTTTTCCTATTTATTTATTTTAGGATAAACTTTATTGATCCCGAAAGAAATTACTGTGATGTCAGCTGCTCTCATTTACACAGTCACAGGTACATAATAAATAAGTTGCTAAAATTAGGCAAAAATGTGACTTAATTTCTCTGTGGTTTTAGTTTAGTTTTACTTCCTGTCCCATTCCCCTGGTTCATTTGTCTGCCCCGAACCCAATGATTTTTAACTTGCGTCTCTCTGTGTGTATATGTACCTGTGTCTCTCTGTGTCTGTATGTACCTGTGTCTCTCTGTGTCTGTACGTACCTGTGTCTCTCTGAGTCTATATGTACCTGTGTCTCTCTGGGTCTGTATGTACCTGTGTCTCTCTGGGTCTATATGTACCTGTGTCTCTCTGGGTCTATATGTACCTGTGTCTCTCTGAGTATATATGTACCTGTGTCCTGTGTCTGTATGTACCTGTGTCTCTCTGGGTCTATATGTACCTGTGTCTCTCTGGGTCTATATGTACCTGTGTCTCTCTGAGTATATATGTACCTGTGTCCTGTGTCTGTATGTACCTGTGTCTCTCTGGGTCTATATGTACCTGTGTCTCTCTGGGTCTATATGTACCTGTGTCTCTCTGAGTATATATGTACCTGTGTCCTGTGTCTGTATGTACCTGTGTCTCTCTGGGTCTATATGTACCTGTGTCTCTCTGGGTCTGTATGTACCTGTGTCTCTCTGTGTCTATATGTACCTGTGTCTCTCTGTGTCTATATGTACCTGTGTCTCTCTGGGTCTGTATGTACCTGTGTCTCTCTGTGTCTATATGTACCTGTGTCTCTCTGTGTCTATATGTACCTGTGTCTCTCTGGGTCTATATGTACCTGTGTCTCTCTGTGTCTATATGTACCTGTGTCTCTCTGGGTCTATATGTACCTGTGTCTCTCTGTGTCTGTATGTACCTGTGTCTCTCTATGTGTGTATATGTACCTGTGTGTCTCTCTGTGTCTGTATGTACCTGTGTCTCTCAGAAATCTAGGGGTAATACTGGACTCAGACTTAAATTTTAATAGCCACATCAAATCAGTAACATCAGCAGCTTTTTACCATCTAAAAAACATTGCCAGGATCAAAAACATAGTGTCTAAAGCAGACCTGGAGATTCTTATCCATGCATTTGTCTCCAGTAGGTTAGACTACTGCAATGGCCTGCTCACAGGTCTGTCCAAACAGGCTGTAAAACAGCTGCAGTACATTCAAAATGCAGCAGCTCGAGTCCTGACTAGAACCAGGAAGTACGACCACATTAGTCCAGTCCTCAGGTCTCTGCACTGGCTTCCTGTGGCTCAGAGAATAGACTTTAAAACAGCTCTGCTTGTGTACAAGTCTCTCCATAGCCTCGCACCAAAATATATTAGTGACATGTTAGTCCCATATGAACCAGCCCGGACTCTGAGGAGCACAGGGACTGGACTCCTGTTAGTGCCCAGAGTCAGAACTAAACATGGGGAGGCTGCTTTTCAGATTCATGCTGCTAAAATCTGGAACAGTCTTCCTGAAGATGTGAGACAGGCCTCCTCTCTGACAATGTTTAAAACCAGGTTAAAGACAGTTCTGTTTAACTGTGCATACAACTGAGGGATTTTATATTTCTATCTTTCTTTTTAATGTTCTGTGATAATTTATGATTTTAATGCTTTCTTGTTTTGTTCAGCACTTTGAATTGCCTTGTGTATGAATTGTGCTATATAAATAAACTTGCCTTGCCTTGCCTTGCCTTGCCTTGCCTTATGTGTGTATATGTACCTGTGTGTCTCTCTATGTGTGTGTATACTGTATGTACCTGTGTCTATATGTACCTGTGTCTATATGTACCTGTGTCTATATGTACCTGTGTCTCTCTATGTGTGTATACTGTATGTATGTCTTTGTCTGTTCCTGGTCCTGTTTGGATTTCGAGTTTGTTTTTTCACCTTGGACTTTTATTTATCATCATTAAATCATTATTATTTTTGCGTTCTTGCATTCTGGGTCCTCCTTCATTCCCCCTGACACACACTGGCCTAAGGATCTCTATCCACTTGTCATTTCAATCAAGGACCGGTGTAAAATGTGTCCATATTTGTACAAACTGAACTATACTTCCTGCTGTTTGTCCATTGGCACATGTTTACCATTAGAACATAGGCAGCTGCTTCCTCTGCCCATATTGTTCTGTCCAATGTGTTCTATGTGTTATTTGAAAATCACTATTGAATTTTTTTGCTGAGAATTGGGAACATAACACAGTTCAGGGCTATGGGATATTATATAATACACATAAGTCCATGATCTCCAAAAATATCCTTCCACTCGGCCCTGGTTTACTGATCATATCCTTGTCTGAATTATGGACTGGAGAGGATGTATTGGGGACTGTGTTTTTTCCATATGCAAAGAAAACAATCGGACCGGAGACCTTGAAGCGGAGACCACCTGTAACGGTCGTTTCAAAGTGGAAAGCCCCTCTGCGATAATAAACCATGTAATGGAGTTGTTTTTCTTGAAATAGTATCCATTTTCCTGTTATCACTTTTTTGTCTTATCTCCTTTTCCCTTTTTGTTCCCTGCTCTTTATCCTGGTTCAAAATGTAATGTCAAGACCCTTTTCGAGCCCTTGCATTATGATGTGTGTATGATGCACGAGTGGTGGGGGGGAAAAAATCCATATTTAGCACACGCAGTTAAATCGATACAGTAGAAAAAAGTAGGTTACACTATAATGTCTGCTTTTTGTTAATCTAGCCTGTTGCATTTGAATTATTTAAGTTGTGTGCTGGGAGCTCACCATTCATGTGGGAAGTTGTCTATTCAGAGATAAATTCTTGTGTCCTGGATGCTCAAGGTTTTTGCACTACCCACCTAAGTTTTTGCACTTCAGTTCATTTGCAGACCCTAATTAATGTGACATAAGTTGAGAAGACTTATTTTTCTCAATGTTTGAAATGCCTTTTTAATAATATGTGGGACATGAATCGCAATATACCGCAGAATCGGATCACAACATCAATGAATCGCGATATGTTAAGAATCGCAATAATATTGAATTGTGGCCCAAATATCGCAATACTATACTAAATGGGCGGCACAGTGGCTGAGTGGATAGCACTCTCGCCTCTCAGCAAGAAGGTCCTGGGTTCGAATCCCGGCCGGACCAGGGCCTTTCTGAGTGGAGTTTGCATGTTCTCCCTGTGTCTGCGTAGGTTTCCTCCGGGTACTCCGGTTTCCCCTACCACTAAAAATATGTACAATAGGTCTGGCATGCGCCTCCTGTTCGGCGACCCCGCTCCCATCTCTGTGTGGAGTGAGAGGACAAGTGCCCAAAAAATAACAATTGTAAACCGCTTTGTGACTCTGGTCTGTGAAAGGCGGTATATAAATAAAAGCTTACTTACTTACTTACTTACTACTATCCAATCATCTCATTTTTGCCAATTCCCCAGTGCTAGTGTGTACAATGCACCAGTACTTGAGGTATTTACAGTCATCTCTGTGGTATGATGAATCCTGAGACTGTCTTTCTTGAGTTTTTTTACGGTTTAGGAGGAAAAACAAAGTTGACTCCTGCACTAATCCCTCACTTACTTTACATTTAGGCTGAGTTTACACGGAGACAATGTGGCAGTAAAACGTTATAGTTGGATGTCGGTTTCTACCAACCGTTCATACGAAGACTGTGTTCCAGGGGGGTGAAAACGTAAGTGTTCAGATCCAGCCTGCAGAGTGGGACAACTCAGATACGCTGCACAGCGGGGAGCTCTTTCACACCCGCGAGAGGGGAAAGGTGTGAAATCCCCCTCTGCTCTGACCCCCACCTGCGCGCTGCTCCCCGCACGTAAATTTGGACATGCGCAGTAGCGGAGAACAAACGTAAACAACAACGGCGGCGGTCACACTAACTAGCTTCGTGGGCTTCCAGCGCGGCACAGAGGATAATTCTACATCTTCGTTCGTCCAAACGAGAAGCTCTAGGTTCAGTTCCCATGTACACAGCTGCTGTTAAAATGCAGAATGATGTTGGTGCGTTCTGAGGGTCTGGCACAGGAAGTGAGGTTACTGCCGAGAGGGGGGCTGGGGGTCGTGTGAGTGTTGTAAAGTTTCTCTGCCCACTACTGGCCGAGCGCTAGAACTACATCTTTTTTCAACCTCATGTGAACGCAGAGAAATTTGCATTAAGAGCCTGGTCGTTTCTGTTAATAGCCTGGAAACGTCTGCGCAGCGTCTCAGTATAAACAGGGCCTTAGAACTCATCAAGTCAGTGGCCTCTGGCTCGGGGGCAACTCTCTGCCATTGTTTCCTCAACACAGAGATTCTCCGACCAGCAGGGGGTCGTAGGCGTAGGAGGGTGTCACAATTAAACTGCACTAATCTTAAGACCACACCCCACAGAGAACAATT